CCAAATTTTCGTCGTTGGGACCCAATTGCAAAGAAGCTACAGTGAGCACATTCATGAGATATACACTAAACGAAGCAAAATCACGAGTTATACAATCCTATAATTAGGTTATTCTATTATCTGGATGCGCATCCTAATTATAAGAAAAATTCAAAAAACACGGAAAATCCGGCTTCAAAATGTCAGCATCCATTTTGGGTGGATGTAGTGATTATATCGAAAATTCATACATTAGGACCATATTGTCCATGGGGTATTCTGCAACATAGTCACTGATCACATGTGCGTGAGTTTAGCCACAAATCGGGAACGAACACAAAAAAACTCGTTGGCTTCAACACATTTTCACCCATTTTTTTACATTACCACCATCACAGCTTCCACGCAACTTATTATTTATTACCGATATTTTAAGATTTTGACAAGAACACTTCATTTTATAGAATTGAATTTAAATTATATGCAATATGTTTATAATTCGCGAGTTATAACCTTGCAAACCTCAGCTGGGAATTCTGTTTTGTTTGTGAAGTCCTTCAGTTTTTTTTTTCAATTTACAACCCCTAAGGTCGGTTATTTCTCGAAATGTATCATTTACTAAGAATTGGGTTCAGTAGCTTGAAAAGGCTGAAAATGTTCTAACGTTTCATTGTCTTCTCCACGCGCTCTACGCCAGTTGCTTCCCTTTATTTATTTATTATTTATGGTTTTTATATATTCTAATAGATTTTTGGATTTAACTGTTTTAGAGTTTATAGTTTTTATGACTGTCACTATATTAATTATATCCTAACCAGAGTTTGCACTAAATCAGTTCAGACACTCCGTTATAGTTTGAACCTACGCCAGTATGATCGTGTTGGGATCTGGTTGCCGAAGTCAAATTTCGGTTTTCGGCTCTTTGATTAAAAATCCCAGTTCCGACTTTCCAGCTAGCTGGGAGTCATCAGTTACCAGGGGCATATTTGCTAGTGTTCCGCTATCCCATAAGTCCCTATCTGGTATCATAGTTTCACATGTTTCAGTTGTATTTGAGGATCCGATTGTGGACTTTATTTTGTGGACTGTATTACATATTTGTGTCCGGTGTCGGTCCACTGGTTCATAGCTTTAAGTTTTAAGCTGCGACGGCCGCTTCAAATTTAATTGGATGTCAATTGGAACTATATACACTATAGTCTCCAAAACTGTCGTTGGTGTTGTCCGTATTTTTCTACATACGCCTAGGCAGCATGTTCTGTGGGCATTCTGTAACGATTTTACATGAAATGTTTTGTCCATGGCTTTCCATCAGAATGGCGACGTTTGGATTCGTCTAATAACGCTCTTATAAATCCAGGTATCATTTATTGATTGAAATCACATTTCGAGCCTACGGCTTTTCTACAGAAGGATCAGCAGCTGTGGGCTTTGTATACCCGTTCCTGTATGTGGTTTTTATACCCTTCACCACACTGTGGTACAGGGTATTATGTCTTTGTGCATATGTTTGTAACAGGCAAAAGGAAACGAGATAGACACATGGTTCCTTTTGAGAATATGCATAGAATCACTTTTTAAGTCGATTTATGCATGTCCGTCCGTCCGTCCGTCCGTCTGTCCGTCTGTCCGTCTGTCCGTCTGTCTGTCCATGTTAAATTGTAAACAAAGTACAGGTCGCATTTATGATCCGAATTGGATGAAATTTGGCATAGGTCACTTATTCGGCCTAAGGACGAACCCTATTGAAATTGGGAAAAATCGGTTCAGATTTAGATATAGCTCCCATATATATATTTAACCGATTTAATGTAAACGGTCCCTATATATCTTTCGATTTGCACGAAATTTGGTACAGCCTAATCATTTAGGTCTAGAATGATGTCTGCCAAGTTTCATGAAAATCGGTCCAGATTTAGATATAGCTCCCATATATAGTTTCGTCCGATTTCATGTAAATGGTGCACCAAAGTCCACATATATCTTTCGATTTGCACGAAATTTGGTACAGCCTAATCATTTAGGTCTACAATGATGTCTGCCAAGTTTCGTGAAAATCGGTCAAGATTTAGATATAGCTCCCATATATAGTTTCGTCCGATTTCGTGTAAATGGTGCATCAGAAGTCCCTATATATCTTTCGATTTGCACCAATTTTGGCATAACGTACTGAATTGAGCCTAGAATTATGTCTGCCAAGTTTCGTGAAAATCGGTTCAGATTTAGATATAGCTCCCATATATAGTTTCGTCCGATTCCATGTAAATGGTGCCCCAAAGTACCTATATATCTTTCGATTTGCACGAAATTTGGCATAACGCACTGAATTGATCCTAGAGTGATGTCTGCCGAGTTTTGAGAAAATCGGTTCAGATTTAGATATACCTCCCATATATAGTTTCCTCCGATTTCATGTAAATGGTGCCCCAAAGTCCCTATATATCTTTCGATTTGCACGAAATTTGGCATATCGTACTGAATTAAGCCTAGAGTGATGTCTGCCAAGTTTCGTGAAAATCGGTCCTGATTTAGATATAGCTCCCATATTTAGTTTCGTCCGATTTCATGTAAATGGTGCCCCAAAGTCCCTATATATCTTTCGATTTGCACGAAATTTGGCATAACGTATTGAATTGAGCCAAGAGTGATGTCTCTCTATCTGTCTGATGTTCGTCCGATTTCCTGTAAATGGTGCCCCAAAGTCCCTATATATCTTTCGATTTACACGAAATTTGGCATATCGTACTGAATTAAGCCTAGAGTGATGTCTGCCAAGTTTCGAGAAAATCGGTCCAGATTTAGATATAGCTCCCATATATAGTTTCGTCCGATTTCATGTAAATGGTGCCACAAAGTACTTATATATCTTTCGATTTGCACGAAATTTGGCAATTTGCTAAGTTTCGTGAAAATCATATATAGTTTCGTCCGATTTCATATAAATGGTGCACCAAAGTCCCTATATATCCTTCGATTTGCACGAAATTTGGCATAACGTACTGAATTGAGCCTAAAGTGATGTCTGCCAAGTTTCGAGAAAATCGGTCTATATAGCTCCCATATATATGTCATGTTAATAGTCCTGGTGAAGGGTATCATATAGTCGGCCCCGTCCGACTTTACTACTTTCCTTACTGGTTCATTCTAAGTTTCCTGTCTACGATTAAATGGCTATCACTGTGTTTTGAAAGATCTCCGTCTTGGTCAAATTTACGTTAAGGCCCCTCGGACTCGCCCAATTATAGACGATGTTTAACACCGTTTCAGGCTTCCTACATAACAAGTTAGGATTCTTTCCCCTCAGAAGTATTATAACGTCGTCTGCATAACAGACCGGTTCAAACCCTCTTCAGTTAAGGTCCTTAAGGGGACCCCCCCCCCATTCTCGGTGTCAAAATTTTTGTTGATATAATTCGAATCTACACTGATTAAGGAATGTCTCTACAAAATTTCAAGTGAAAATCTCAAGAACTCTAGAAGATATATCCGATTTATTGTATCAACATTAAGTGACGGCTAAAGGGCTTCTCAAACTTTAAACGCGTTTTTCTCTAAACATTTTTTTGTGAATGGCGGGCACGATAACTCAAAAACCAATAATCCAATCGGTTCCAAATTTTGCAGCGTTTCTCTGGGAGTGTATAGCTCTCGTATGAACTACGATAAAGCCAATCGGTGAAGATCTTCCTTATTTTTTAACATGGTTTTTGGTAAAAAATCGGCGATTTTCTAAAAATATTTTTTCAAAGGTCCACCATTTTGTTAATTTTAGAGCGAAGTCAATAATCCTAGTTCATACGAGAGCCAGACATGTACTCTTTCTAACACCGTTGGAATTTTCGGATTCCGATGTTCCAGTGAGGAGTTATCATGCCCGCCATCAAAAATAAGGACTTTTCTTTAATTACAAAAAACAACAACAAAACAATAACAAAATTTTTTTGTAAATTATTTTTCTTCTCTTTTAAATCTTCAATTATATATGTGCCAAGTTACAAACCTTAACAAGCATTGGTATTCATTTACCAGCCCATTTAAAATCTTAAAAATAAAAAATCGAGAATGGGGGGGGGGGGGGTTCCCTTAAGAGACTATTAATAGTGGTAACCCACAGCAGTGGTAATAAAACCCCCTTCCTGCAGTGTCCTTTGTCCTACTTTGTACCAGATATCAAAGAATTGACCATCAGTGGTGAGATACCAGAAAGGGAGGGCCATTGGGTCGCATCTTCGGTCTTATGTAGGTTTGGTAAAAGTATTACAATTTGCAAATCGTTCATTTCATTCGCTTAATATAGCTTTGACAAATATTCAAAATGTTGACAACTTTTGGGGAGGTAAAAAGAAGAGTTGACCGATGAGTCCTATCTGCGGAATTTATTTTATCTTGGTAAAAATATAATGTGCAAAGTTTAGATAAAATTTGAATAAGATTTACAAATTTTCAATATTTTGACCCTGAGGGCATAAAAAGGCCATATCAGTATAAGATCTCTAGTAACATTAATATTAAAATAGGCATTCCATTTAAGTTCATAGGATAGAAAATGCCGCTAGGCTGTACATTATTAATCAGATATGTTATCTTATTATAGTACATATATTCTTATGTTCCTTGATTTATTAATATATGTTTCCAGACTTTTATGTATATATATGGGTGCAAGCCTAGATAAGAATAGATATACAGCCCTATTTCCTATTCAGTTTATGCAATAAATCTACTGTAAATGCTGCTATCATCTTTCCTAACAAAAACACAAATAGTAATAATGACTTGCATGGCATTATTACGCTGCACTTGATAGAATGGAAATCTTCCGTAATGTACTCCCACAACAAAGTAAATATGAGGACAGCCTACAAATATAATAAGCGAATTGTTTGCTCATAATTAAATGAGTTTTTGTTTTCTATGAGCTATTCTATTTCTAATTGTATTCAAATTTATAACAATGACATAGTATTTCTCACTAATTTATTATTTTATCAACTTGTTTTTCTATTTTTTTATATTTGCAGTAATTACAGATTGCAAAAGGTAGCCGATACACCTACGGGCCGTTGTATTTGTTTGGTACACAAAGATTCATTGGCGTTGTACGCCAATATTGCAGCTTCGGCGAAATTCTCTGAGAACTTTTTGAGAAAAATTGAACAAGACGAGAAGGCGTTTTTCCTACGCAATGCCGGCAATAAACAGATCTTCTATATCGAAGGCTTCTTTGTGCCGCAGCGAGAGGAGGTGGTGACCTATGTGGTACGCAACTATATTCGTGGTAGACGACGTCTGGCACTGAATCTAAGTGCTCCCTATATTGTCGAAACGAATTACGAACAAATGTTGTATTTGGTCAAGAATGCATTTTTCATATTTGGCAACCGAGATGAATTTGAAACATTCCGCAAATGTTGGGGTGCCCAAAGTATTGATGATTTAGCTCTGGATCTGCTCAAAGAAAGTTCAACACCGAAAATACTAATAATGACCAAAGGAGCTGAGGGAGTAACTCTGATAACAAACTATGAGGACGAATTCTCATCACCTGGCGAGATACGTTTTGAGAACTTCAATGTACCGCGTGTTGAAAATATTGTCGATACGACGGGTTGTGGTGATGCTTTTGCTGCTGCATTCCTACATGCCTGGTTGGAGAAACGTCCTTTGTGTGAATGTGTTCGAATGGCTGGTGATGTTGCGGCCAAAGTGGCAACACAAATTGGTTGTAATTTACCCTAAAATATCTAATTCTGCTGCTTATAAATGTATTTTGGTGCTGTGAGAAAATATTCATTGCAAATTGCTTGATTCCTGGTGAACCAACGTATTTTTGATTTTACAATTTTAATTTATTGCTAGGTTTAATAATATTATGCACTGCTATTACAATAATTAGTGTTACTATTACATATCATTTGCATAACCACAATACATTTGAATCTCCATGCAATTGTATACGTACATACATAGCATATAGTATTTATCATGTTAGTATTTTTATATTACCATTCATTCATTGCCGATTATTTATAAGTTTTTAATAAAAAAGACGTAAATTTTATTTTTATAAACGATTTGAATGTTTTCCTTGATTATTTACTAGAGTAAATGTTAGAAAAGCGGAATATACATTCACAGAGATAATAAAATCATATAGAAATGTCAAGTGTTGCGAAAAAGTTTCCTTCTTCGACAAGGAAATACGCATTGAAAATCCTTTAGTTAGTATAGATTGGGAACAAATGGGGTACGCAAAACATCTAGACTATTCTGTGAATACGTCGATAGCGTAAACAAAGTATCTGAGGTCAAGAATTCATAACTTAACCGATATAGTGGTAAGCGATATAAATAGAAATATGCAGACAATTAACGCTCACTTCCCATCGATAATGCCATCGGGAAACAAATAATTACTTGAGGTGATAAGAACTATGTAAATAGTCCACTAGATATAATATAACAGATCCCTTCAATCATCCCTTCAATAATTAGTTTTTTAATTTTCACTAGAGACGGATAAATAAAAACATTAAAAAACATTAATAGTTTAAAAATTGAGAATTTAATAAAATGCTTTCGAAATGTTCCACTAGAGGTGGTCATTTGTCACTAGAGGTGACTGTGGTGCGAATTTGCTATTTTCATGTATTCTTTGCAGAGATTTCAACTCTTCACAGTTGGTTGTTTGAAGTTGAGAATGGGTGAGAAGGATACAAGAAATCAGGAAATTGCCACAAAATGCTCCGCATCCCTTGTTGCACCCGTGCAAGGGGCTCGGCATGTTGAGGTTCCATTGATAATGCCATCGGGAAACAAATAATCGATAATCGCGAACGATCTCCAAGCAAGAAGAAGAAAACTAAATAACTTTGCAGCAAAAACAATCAATAATTGTTGTTTAAACAAATAAAATATGGTCAAAATATTCATATTTATTGTTGTTCCTCTTTGTGCAACAAGATCTTTCGGCTCTAAAACTACTCTGTAGATTTAGAAACCCCACAAGTCCATACGCCTGTATCAGAACTTTTACAATGACAATAAAGGGAGAGATACCAAAAGTAAGAATCAATGAAATAAAATTCAACCCACAGCTTCTCTCCGTATAATACAACATAATTCAATTTTTTTTTTAGAAAATTTGTCAAACTACTAATCACTCTTGAATTTGGTTAAGATTTAGATATTGCTCCCATAAATAGTTTCGACCGATATTACAATATTGCACCAATGTCCCGTAGAGACAAACAGTTTTACAGCGTACTGAATAGTATGTGTTAATGTTAGTTAAAATGAATTCAGATTTAGATAGAGATTCGACGAATTCTCAATAGTCTCAAATTTTGCATAAAATCTAGCCCCCATATAACGGAACATACTAATTTGCAGTAATTAAGAGATTTTTGGGGTTTTTAACCGATTCAGTTGGAGTTAAGTTTTTTGTGGTCTCATTGGGTAACAAATCTCCCGTTTAAAAATTATATATAGATCTACTTTTTCGGGTAGGCAAATCTGCCTTCTAAAAATGATCAATATTGTTCCAATTTTTGGGGTATCCCCCATATAAAGGTATTCAGATCTTGAGGATTTTTGACAAGTTGTTCGATCGTATTTCTTGTAATTTGGTATGTATTCTTCTATTTTAGATTCCTATTACGTGACAAAAATTTTAATATTCACCCCATTTTGGGGGTAGTCCCTAGATAACTTCTTTTTTTATAAAAATGGTGAACTGATTGGTTTTCTCGTACTGAGGTTGTCCCTATATAACTGTATTCCACCATAGTATAGCGAATATTCTGAACTTGAAATTGTCCGTTTATACCCAATAAGGTATAAAACTCCGTCCGTCTGTACACCTGTTGTTATCAGGGATGGTCCATGTGACGAATATTTAGGTTTTCGACTGTCAAAAAGGTGTAAACGTCGAAAACGTCAGATACCTGTATAATGTAATAATGTAATAAATGTAGTTAACGTAATTTATTTGAATATTATTACAATATACTGTTATTTTCAAGAGTATATATTATTTTTAATTATATCTGAATTTTCCTTACTAGAACTGATAAAAAAATTTAAACATTTTGGGGAAGAAAATTTTGAAATTTGATATGTATTTGAGTAAAGCCTATGCAATTTCGAAATTGATTAATGGAAATAGCTATTTTGTCAAAAACCTAATGGTTTTTGGTGGGTTTCCGACGTTTTTGACGTATGTATTATACGTCGGAAATGTATGTCATTTACGTCACTATTTCTGACGGACCATCTCTGGTTGTTATCTTACCACCTTACCAGGGTATTAAGATACAAAACTAAAAGATAAGATTCGAAAATTAGCTATATCTGTCCA